AATCATGACTCTTCAAACCTGTCAACTTGCATTCATTCAAATCAACACATCTCTTGAGGTTCGAAGCATATCTATCGGGAAACCGTACAGATTTCAACCATTGACAAACAACTCGTCTCTGCTCCTTATCCAATGTATAAACTGCTTTTGATTTTGGTCCCCTGCTGCTTGCATCCACATCTAGTGTTGGCCGATCACAAATATCTCTCATATCTTTTCTTACGTTCAAGTTGTCTTTTGTTTTTCCGGTGACATCCATCACAGTATTTATGACATTTTTGAAAACATTCTTTTCTATGTGCATGACGTTAAGATTATGATGAATAGTATGGGCCTTCCAATATGATAGATCCCAAAATATACTGCGTTTAGTCCACTTATGTGTACTTCCGTACGCAATAGTCGTGCCGTGAAGGTTCTGAACAACAGTTGGAAAGTCTTGCACCCGCTCCCAAATTTGATCGCCGGTCAACCTCAATAGTGGATGTGTTCTTTCAGTTTTATTCTTGATGAACTCTTTTTTATTCCTTCTAAATGTATGATTTATCGGTAAAAATTGTCCGTGACAGTCAAAATAGCTGGGCTTCTTTCTATGTTTTAATCTAAATGACTTTGATCTCTCAAAACATATCGGACATCCTAAGATCCCAGTTGTACTCCATCCAAATAACATTCCGTAAGCTGGAAAGTCATTTATCGTCCAAAGAAGAGCAGCCTTCATTACGAATGTTTGATCGGTAGAAACATCATATGTAAGAACACCTTCATCCCATAGCCGTTGTAACTCTTCAATCAATGGTTGCAAATAAACATCTATTAATTTTTTCGGATTTTGCAGGCCAGTCACGATCAATGTCAAAAACATATAAAGTGTCTTCATGCACATACCAGGTGGAAGATTGTACGGCGTTAAGATAACTAGCCAACATGAATAACTTTTTCCTGATTTCCCAAATGGGGCAAATCCATCAGCACAGAGACCTAACCTGATGTTTCGAGGCTCTATCGCAAACTCAGGGTATGTTCTATCAAAATGTTTCCATGCCTCTGCATCTGAAGGATGACACATTAGACCCTCTTCTGTTTCATGATTTGCATGCCAAGTCATGTGTTCAGCAGTGGCTTGAGACGCATAAAGCTTTTGCAATCTGGGGATTAAGGGCAGATAAAACATTTGCTTGCATGGTCTACGCTTCTGATTACGACCCTGCCTCCTATTAATCTTGTACCTAGGTTGGCTACAGAATTTGCAAGATTCTGCATTTTCATCATCTTTCCAATATAACATACAACCCCTACTACATACATCAATCCTTACAACCGGAAGACCTAAGTTATCCACTAACTTTTTCATATCGTAAAAATCACTTGGCATGATGTTATCACAAGGCATTGTTTCCCGCATTACTTCAACAAAAGAGTTGAACCAATCCGCAGACACATTATGCTCTGCCTTGATATTTAACAGTCTCGCTGTCACTGATAACTTAGTGTGGTTGTCACAACCTGCCCATAAAGGTTCATCTGCTGCTTTCAACACTTTCCAGAACTGATTAGATGGAAAAGTTCCATTACACACATTCTCATCAAAATCCGTTACTCCTATCTCTTCCAATTGTGATGTATGACTAGTACCCACTTGTTTAAGTGTAGGAGTAAAATTAGTACTTACATGGTTCGATTTTGAAACAAAATTCTGACCAGCTGCATCAATCACCATCCTCTCGTATGGGTTCAATTGGTCATAATAGCTACATTCTTCCCTAACTAAAAATTGGTCACTTCTTCAATATCCTTCATCAGATATAAATGGTTCACCATGGCAAGTCCAATTATAATAGTTCGGAGTAAACCCAAATCTACAAAGATGTTCTCTAACTTTATCACACACATGAAATTTACCATTACTACACTTTTTACACGGACACCTTAACTTATTTCTATCCATGAACTCATATTTACTACTAGCAAAGTCTAAAAATAGTTCCAACCCAGTATGAAACTCATCGGTCAATCCTCGACGTCCAGGTAAGTTCTTATTATACATCCAAGCCCTGTCTCTTTGCATTGTGTCCTTATAAAATTAAAAAAATCTCGTAAAATATTAAAAATATCATATCTACTGTTCTTAATTAAAACCATAAAATTATGAAAATTAAAATTTTGTTTTTGACGCAACAATTACTTTGAAATTGAAAAAAAATGAAAAAATTACCATGTAAAGAAGACTTACGCAAATATTTGACTGAAATCTTTGTAGTAGAAAGTGGTCAATTTGATGAGAATTGCAACGTTCACTTGGATTGCGAGACCTTCAAATGGACACGTACCTAAAAAAAAGATAAATCACTTAAGATTCATTTTTTAATAATTTTTTATTTTTTTCGAATTTTTTTTAATTTTTTTTCAGTTTTTTTCCCCTATATTTTTCTCCGGTCGCCGATCTGGCAACCGGCGACCGGCTGAGGCTAGCAAGTTCGACCTCGCCGACCATGGTGAAGGCCGAGCGGCCTCGCCCAGGTGTGGCGGTCGACCTCGCCGTCGCCCAGATCTGGTCGACGGCGAGGTCGACCGCCACACCTGGGCGAGGCCGCTCGACCTCCCCCAAATTTGGGCGAGGTCGACCGCCACACCTGGGTGAGGTCAACAGCCATGGGGGGAGGCCGAGCGGCCTCGCCATGGCCGCCGGTCGACCTCGCTGTCGCCCAGATCTGGGCGACGGCGAGGTCGACGGCCATGGGGGGAGGTCGAGCGGCCTCGCCGGTCGCTAGTCGCCGGACTGGCGACCGGCGAAGAAGTTAGGAAAAAAAAACAAAAAAATTAGTCAATAAAATAAAAAAATTCGAATCCAGCGATGAATAGTTTTGCGACGAACCGTATTCGTCGCCAATTAGTCACGAAGTTAGCTATGATACTTACCGGTAGAAAAGCTTTACCGAGATTGATTTGTGCGCGCACGGATAGGTTTATTGATAGAAACGAAAGAGGGAGAAGGAGGGAGAAAAGCAAGGGGGATATGAGGAATCAGTATAGAGAGAGAGAAATTGACGGGTGGGGTGGATATCACGAAAGTTATTTTCCATCATAAATTACAAATTAGCGACGAATTCGTTTTCGTCGCAAAATCCGTCGCTAATTTCGTGGCAAAATAGTAAATTCGTTGCATAAATTTGCGACGGAAAATTGGTCGTCGCTAATTCCGTCGCAAATTAGGGACGGAAAATTTGTCGTCGCTAATTTGCGACGGAATTAGCGACGGATTTATTTTCCGTCGCCAATTTGCAACGAATTTTTATTTCGTGGCAAATTCCGTCGCAAATTAGGGACGAATAATTTTCGTCGTTAATTTGCGACGAAAAAAAAAATCCGTCGCAAATTTTGTCGCAAATTAGTGACGAAAATTCCCCGTCGCAAATTTCCGTGGCAAAATCCATGTTTTTTTGTAGTGTAATAAAGAAACTAATACTCTAATATTAATTTCTCATCCATTCACAAAATCCACACCTCTCTAAAATATGCCTTTAGACCATAAATGACACTATATAAATTGTATAATCCATGCAAAGTATAGATGGGTATCCTAAACCTTTGAAATAAGTCACATTCTAATAACAAACAAAATAACAAACCAACAACCCTTCACCAGATTAAAGAACCATCACTTCATGCCCAAGCTGACGACTTTCACAACGTAAAAGCCAATCTTACTCTCGACCTCTTTCGTCAATGTCAAATTGCGTATCAAAATCCATGCTTTCTATATCACTCAACTCAATCGCCGATTTTTACTAAAAAGTCATTTGCATTTAAAATTGAATTGATGTTGTGGATTAAACCACATGTGATTTTTACACTTGAATTTTTAAAGGTTCCTTTTGATGAAACATGTTAAACGTCATCATTTGTTTATAATTCCATTGTTCAAACGTTATGTTAATGAATTATAGTCAAAACAGAATGAAAAAAAACTCATTTCTTTTTATTGGGGCTGACAGTTGATATTAGTAGTTTGCGGTTGGATTGATTTTTTTTGTAAAATTAAAATGTCGGTGTGAGTTGAAATGCAGTCCAAGCGAACGACAAACATGCCTAATACAATTGAGCACAAGGGATTTTGATTTTTGTCTTGATTTGTTTTTACTATCCAAGTCATTAAAACCACGTATCTTTTTGAAACCAAATAGCCTTCAAATCTATGTTTAAGTAAAAAATCGATCTATCTAAGAACATGCTCCACAGAAGCAGCAGCTTGACCATAAAGCATATTGTTTCTTGCCTTCCACATAAGCTATGTATTGGCATTCCGAAGAGACTCAAACAATACGTTCTGCTGTTCTATGCCATTCTTCAATTTTGCAAGGGCCAGGTAAACTCGGATTGCCAATCCACAGAATTCCTGTTAATAAAGAAGAGCTCCAGCACCTTGCACCAGACTTTAGAAGAGAATTGCAATTTAAATTCACTTTCCCAGATGTCTTTCCAAGGAAGAAGCAGAGAGATTGTCTCATCTACAGACCAGATTCTCATATGGCTTGACATGCAAAATCATCAGTGTATCATAACATAAAGTGAGACTTCCTACCCATGAATAATTTGAGGGAAAAAGGTAGAGTTTATCGTGATAATACTGTCTCCAATGTTTCCTTAATCCATTAATGCAGCTGTCTGCATAGATCAATAAATGAGCTTACTAGGTATGCATTGCCATTGCTACCAAAAAGTCATAGGGAACAAATCATAGTAGTCTGTAGTTGCACTAGTTGCAATGCCCAGAGAGCAAGATGCGTAACTCAAACCGTAAATAGTTTGGTCTTACAGAAGCTAAAAAATTCTTATGGTGGCGTCAAATCAAACACATACATGCATAGCATTCAAAACGCTTCATCATTCTTTCCCGCATCGTCTAAAATCTGCTAGCACCGGCAATGCTGAAGTTGTAGATGCAATCTCGAGTAGCATACTTTCACTTGTACAGAGAAGACACTTCGCCTAGTCTAAAGAAAAACTTAAAAGTGAAAAAGCATAAGCATTCTAAAGTGTAGTAGCAATTGAGTCATATCTAAAGTGAAACGAGGCTCTCCACGACAGTGACCAATTCACATCTCCTTGACAATGGAAAATTTGCGAGTTGTCCAGTGATCGGATTCCAAGAAACTCGTTCTCCACCACTTATTAGCATCAGAAGCTCACCATTCCACGTGAAGCAATCAAATCCTGTTACCAGTGCACTAGGGTTAAAAGTATACAGCTTCGTCCAAGACTCAGGCACGCCGTAGTCTCTCATAACCCAAACATAACTAACGCAATGCACATCAGGATGCCTAAATGCGTTCTCATGAAGAATGATCACAGCCAGCAAGTCATTCAATACGGACACAAACACATCTAAACCGACACTAACCACGTGCAAAAGCTTTTCCGGAAGAGCCATTTCATCAAACACCTCGCTGGCTACATCGAACAAGAGTATTGATCCATATTCATACTCCTGCAGATCATTGTGCTTGAAAACAAACCAGTGCAGATTCCCATTCGAAAAAGCCGGAGGTCTGTCGCTGCAAAAAGTAGGAACCTCACACTCCAAACTTCTCCAGGAATCTGTCCAGAGTGAATAAATATCGACTTGAGGCTTAATCTTGCCGAAGCCTTGAGGATGTTCATATGGATAATAAATAATCCTCACGATCTTATAGTCATTCCACCTAGCGTCGAAGCCAAACCCTAGAACTATATGAACATGCTCCATGGAAAGAAAGTCACTCTCCGGAATCGCCTTGTGCTTTCTGGTGAATAAATTCCACAAGTACATCGTCCGGCCACACCTATCTTCGGATATATCTGTGACGCAGATCAAACCATTACACGAACCAACGAAGCCGTAGCAATTGGGAGGAGCAGCAAACGGAATTTCGATTTGTGACAGGGAAGGCCGAGCAAGAGACTCGCCGGAAAACAGAGAGCACAGGCTCTGGACAGGATCGTACAAATCTACACACGCGAGATGCCAATTGGAGGCATCGAGAGCGGAGTGGCTCAAGTGGAGGGCCACGAAACGAGGGTCGTCGATGGTGGAACGCCATGACCGGCAAACGCACCTGAATCGGAGGAGAGATCCCACCGGCAACCGCTTCAGGATCTCGACGGCGACGTCGTGAGGGAGCTTCGGGTGGTCGTCGTCGTCGGAACTCATGGTCAGGGATTGAGAAGAAGAGCGAACACGATTGGACCGATTTGCCATGGACTTCTGATACATCGATGAAAGCTCCATTGAAGTGTACTTTCCAAAACCAGGCATTTTCCATTTTGCCGTCTGCTTTCTACTACGTGACAAACTCTATGAAACAACTAGATAAATTAATTATTCAATTTTTTTTGGTTCTCGTAATCATCACAGTTAATTTAGGTGATGATATACGTTGCAAAATCCGTCAAGTCGGAGGAAAATTATCGATGGATCCTACATCTACTATATAGATGCCAATTTCGTTCGTGAATATTTCTGCTATATTAAAATGTAGTCCTTTGGAAATCGTTGATGAGGATGCGAGAATTCTCGTCATCATTGGATGCCTCAAGGACGCCATATCTCCTTCTCCAATAGCTAAAGCTTGTTCAGTTGGTGGTCCGCGCCTAGGTTAAAGGTGCTCAACACCATCACGGTACAGTGCTGTGACCGCTAGCACGAGAGTGTTAGCTGCGCCTCTCCAGTTGCTGGGCTGTCCAATGATGTTGGGTCGACCAAAATCGCTCTTCATATTGAATCAACTCTTTCTATTATTGTTCCTTTTTGTTTTATCAAATCTTATTGCATAATATCTAACGAAAAAGAAAATTGATAGAAACTCTACTCTTCTTATTCTTACACAAATTTCTTGCGCAAGCATGATTCTTGTTTCATTCTTCATGATACAAAAAAATAGAGATCTAGGGTTTACCAATCCCTTCAAGAGGAGCTCCGATATGGGGAAACGGTTCCGTTGTTGCGAGAATATCTCCGATGTAGGGAGACAAGTTGCTTTGCTATGAGACAAGTTCCGATAAGGCGACATGAGTTCCTTTGTGGCACAACAACTCGTGGCGATGAGCCGCGTGCTAGGCCTAATTGTCCAGAATATATAGATTATGCACCACAATATCAAATGTCTATATACAAATATGGGGATAAATACACTAGAAATGTCATAACTTTCGTACGGCACTCACTAAAGGCCATAACTTTTTTTTCTCTTACTAGAGTGCCACAAATTTGAAAAATCGATCACTTGAATGCTATCGGTGATTTGGCTCTTTGGAAAATCCAATGTGAATGCCGGTCATCCTACGTGGCTTTGCCGATGCTGACAAGGAAAATTTTTTAAATAATTTTTTTGTTTTTAATAATTGTTTATTATTTTTTTGAATTTTTTATTTTCTTTTCATTTTCTTTTTGCCTTTTTTCAACTCTGGTGAGGGACGATCAGACCCTCACCGGTCGCGGGTGAGGCCGCATAGACCCTTGCCAGATCTGGGCGACCACGGGCGAGGCAACCTCACTCAGATCCGGTGAGGGCCTTTGTGGCCTCACCTGCGACCGGTGAGGTGGCAATGGCCTTGCCTAGGGCCTTCGCAGCCGCACCAACCAAGGGCAAGGCAACGCCCAGTATGGTACAAAAGCATTGGGAGTGTTTGAAACCAAGGCCAAAAGAAGGACAACAACGACGAAGAAGAGAAGAAGAGAGCGAATTAACTCTCTAGCGACCACTTGCGGTGGCGGTCTATCTCGCAATCTTTAGCGACTATAAACATTTCATTTGTTCTCTTTGTTACATATGAAAATAGATTCATTATGAAAATAAGAAGAAAATATCTATCCATGATGCCTTAATTAAGCTCTTTTATGCTATTCCGACTTTTATCCTAGCTAAGAAACGTACCCTTTTGAATCCTATGTGGTGTGAGATTGTTAATTCAAAATTGTGGTAAGAACCCATTGGATCAAACTCCAGAAATACAACATTATGATGGTGAAATATTAAAGAGCCGAGAGTAAATGGAACAACTGCGTAAAGTTATCGATTCGGAATTAAAAACACAGCTACCCATTCTTGCAAAATAAAATTAGAAAGCACATCATTCTGTCTAATCAATCAGCCGACATAATTCAAACAAGTTATAAGGGTCATCCTCCGAAATTAAAGGCGTTTAAAGATTAAAAAAAGGAGAAAAAAATCAATGACTTGACAAATTGAACTCATTTTGTTTAGTCTTTGGTCTCAATTTGATGTATTTCCAAATTGAACTTGTTCTACATCCTGCTAATTTTTTTCCCATATTTTTGTCGCATAAAGTTATTCACTAAATTTCATTTGCATTTCAATTGGAATAATTGGTTTGGATTAAACCATGTGTAATTTTTTTCGTATGAACTTTTCAAGTTGCCTTTTGATGAAAAGATGGTATTCACCAGTTTTATTTTATTTTTAAAATTTAGTGAACAACTTAAATGTCTTAAAAACTCAAGTATTTTTTTATTAGGGTTCACAGGTGATTCTTTTAGTACCGAGTTGCATGAAATTTCTCTAAATTAAATTGTCTGTTTTGAATTGAAATATAGTCCAAGCCGAACAACACAAGCAGGCCTTATATATTTGCCCACAAGGGTAACCCTTTTCAATGGGACGACAGTCAAAACAACTGAGATGAAGGAGGAATAGTCCATTTCAATTTTGATTTTAATTTTGTCTTGATTTGATTTTTACAATTTTAGTCATTAAATTATTTAGATAATTTTAAATGCACACCGTGTATACGGTCCGAATATTTCATTTTAAACATATTATTTGTGCTATGCATGCACATTTGCATGCATTTGTCTTTATTCATAAGTATGTAGGCTTTTGTTTAGCTTTGCTCCAACATATTGGTATTTCCTCCAATAAACCTTTATGTGGACTTGGCCAAGTCCTCTCTCTATGCTATTGCATGCTTTGTTTGTCCATTTCCTCCCCGCCTCTTACCACCATCACTCTCTGCTCAAAACCACGCTTACCTTTCACAGAAAAGGAGGACAAGAGCCAAAACCCCGTTGATTTCTGATAGCTGTTAATGCTAGATCCGGCCATGTCAAATCCCTTTGCTCTCCATCACTTCTTAGGAAACAGAGAGCTCATGACTATACATATGAATATGCGACTCGATTCATTCTCGGCAAAATAAGCTTAGATTTTGCTTTCGGGGTTTTGATCGGCTTTGATTTGGGCTACTAAAGTGCAAAGTTCTTCTGGGTGCAAACTGTAAAGAGAACACACTTTGCCTAATCTAGAAAGAAAAACTCAAAATGTGAAAATGCATAGGCATTCTAAAGCTTGCAAGAAGTACCAAAAGCAGATGGGCACCGCTAGGGGTGTGCAAAACGGACCACTCGGATCGGACTCAATCGGCTAGTCTGGTTCGGTTTCCGAGAGTATCGGTCCGGTTCCCCGTTCCTAAAAGTGAAATCAATGTCCGAGCAATTCAGTTCCTGGTTCCAAGGGAGAATCGGACCAGACCGGACCGATTACATATACTTTTTTATTTTTTATTTCTTAAAAAAATAGTAAAATGTGAACTAAACCCATGTACAACGCTTTTTCCTTATCGTCACACTACAATGACTCTTCACTTATCGTCACTTTTGTCAATATGTTGATATTTGTCACTCTCTTTCGTTGTGGTGGGAGAAATATAAAAAATTGACCAGTTCCATTGGACCAGATCAATCCGATCCCCAGTTCTTAAAATTGGGAATCAGTCTTCCCAGTCCGGTTCCCAGTTCCATTTTGGAATCAAACCGGACCTTGGAACTGGGAACCGATCACCCCTAGGCACCACCTCACTTCTTTTGCTCGATATTTTGTGGCCGGGGTAGATACAAATAAGATCATTTCTTCTAAATATAAATGTCTCTTTCAACTCTTCTGTGAACAGAATTAGTCTTTCAACTCTTCTGTGAACAGAATTAGTCTTTCGTCTCAATTTGATGTATTTCTAAATTTGAACCTATCCTGTATCATGCTAACTTTTTTTCTACATTTTCGTTGCATTAAGTTATTCACTAAATTTCATTTGTATTTCAATTGAAATCATTGATTTGGATCAATACATATGTAATTTTTTTCATATGAACTTGGTGTCTTTTGATGAAAAGCTGGCATTCACCAGTTAAATTTCTTAAAAACTCATCTTTTTTTTTTGTTCGGGTTGACAAGTGATTCTTTTAGTAGTTTGGAGTTGAATGAAATTTCTCTAAATTAAAATGTCTGATTTGAGTCGCAATATAGTTGAGGCCAAACCACAAGCAGGCCTAGTGCAATCAACAAGGAGGTTGACCCCTCTTCAATGGTACAATAGTCAAAACACATATGAGACGACAGAAGAATAGTCCAGTGCGATTTTGATTTTTGTCTTGATTTGATTTTTACTATCCCAGTCATTAAATTACTTAGATAATTATAAGTACACCATGTATACAGTTCGAATATTTAAAACAGACTATTTGTGCTACGTGGCCGGAGCAGATATGTATAAGACCGTTTATTCTAAATGCAGAGGTCTCTTTCAACTCTTTTGCAAGCAAAATCAATATGTCATACCGATAAATGTAGCAACAACTGCGTTATCTCTAAAGTAAAACAAGACTCTCTACGACAGTGACTAAATCGCATTGCGTTGATAGTGAAAGATTTGCATATGGGACCGTGATTGGATTCCAAGAAACTCGTTCTCCATCATCTATTTCCATCAGAAGCTTGCCATTCCCCGTGAAGCCATCAAATCTTGTTACTTCTTTACAAACCTTAAAAGTATACAGCTTAGTCCAAGACTAAGGCACGCCGTACTCCCTCATGAAACAGAACAAATGGAACGCAGTTCGGGATCCTCTGCGTCCTTGAAACTAACGAACACAGCCAGCAAGTCAAACATCTCACCCTCAACATGGAACGAAACTATTGACCCTTATCCACCCTCCCCAGCAGATTCCCATTCAAGAAGACCGCTGGGTCGCCGTGGTGTAGAGCAGGAACCTCACACTCCAAACTTGTCCAGGAATCTGTACGGAGCGAATAAATATCGGCTCGAGGCTTCGTCCCACCAAAGCATCGACCATTATCGTCTGGAAAATAGAGAATTTCCACAATCTTATAGTTATTGTTAGAGTAATTAAATATTAAACCACGCCTTTATAAAATAGTTTAAGCTTTTAGAACAGTTGGCAGTGGTCCCACAAAATCTCACATGGTATCAGAGCTGGAGGCCATGAGTTCAAATCTTTCCAGACTCTATTTACGTCCCCAATTAAATATATCCACGCTTAGTACTAGGCAAACAAACCAGACTAAGCGTGAGGGGGAGTGTTAGAGTAATTAAATATTAAACCACGCCTTCATCAAATAACTTAAGCTTTAAGAACAATTGGCAGTGGTCTCACAAAATCTCACTTAGTATTAGAGCCTCCTTTCTTGAGGCAACTTAGTGCACCCGGTGCACTTCGCACCCGGTGCACCTCACGCACCCCAGAAATTTCCCCAATCCTATTTTTCCGCTTTATCATTCTCAGCGTAGAATAAATCCATCCCCATCATTGCTGTTCAACAGTGTTCAGTTGGTGCCCACAAGTTTCATATGAGGAAGCACTTAATCGAGTCCGCATAATGTTTCGATGCTAATCGCACTGATCACATCACTCGTCGAGCCTTTTTCATGGAGGTGGCTTTCTTTCGATGCTAGCCGCACAGGCCGCATCCCAGTAACTCTTTTCCATGCCAGCCGTATAGGCCGCTTGATGTTTCGACGCCGGCCGTATAGGCCGTGTCGCTTAGTTACTATTTCGCAAGCCAGCCGTATCGGCCTCTTACTGTTTCCCCTATGATTCTCGACCTTTCACGCATCGTTTCGAGAAGTCGAAACCACCACCAAACTCGCTCAACTTCATATGAGCTAGATGCTGCCTCACTCACCATCCCATCCCAGATCCACCAAGCCCGATGCCATGCAGCATCGTTGGAAAAACAAGTTTATGTGGTGGCATTGTTCGACAATGATTCAAACTCAAGGTGACTTAGTCACTATGAGTTTAAAGGGGGATGTTGAAGATATTTAGAAATCTTCTAGGAATATTTAGGATATTTCTTCTGTTTTTCTATATTTCTTTTGATTATGCATATAAGATTTGATTTCATTTGATTTTCTCTATCTAAGCCTATAAATAGGCTCTCTATGTACTCTTTTCAATATATCAAAATATATACAATTTCTCACATTTCTCTCTTCCGCAATTCTTATAATTAACTTGGTATTGTTAGAAGATATAAATAATAAATCACGCCTTCATCTAACAGCTTAAGCTTTTAGAACAGTTGACAGTGATTCCATCAAAATCATTCATGGTATCAGAGCAGAAGGTCCTGAGTTCAAATTTTTCCAGGCTCCATCTGCTACTCCAATTAAATATTCCCACGCTTTAGGATCAGACCAAAGACCATCCTACGCATAAGAGGGAGTGTTAGAATATATAAATAATAAACCACGCCTTCATCTAACAGCTTAAAATTTTAGAACAGTTGGTAGTAGTCCCATCAAACCCTACGGCTACACGAGCAGCCTCTATGGAGAGAAATTGATGCTCTACACTGGATTGTCGAACCGTCTTGTGCTTTCCAGTGAATGGGTTCCACAAGCGCATCATCGGACCATAGCGGTTGGAGATTTCCGTGATGCAAATCAAACCATTACACGAACTGAAGAAACCGTAGCAATCGGGTGGCGGTGGAGTGAAGAAGGGAAGTTGGGTTTGTGACTCGGAAGACAGAGAGTACCCTCTCTGGAGAGGATCCCCCCAGCTTAGACACAGAGTGTCCCCATTGGAGGCGTCAGAGCATAGTGGTTCCTGTGGTCAGCCACGAAGCGGCGGTGATCGATGGCGGAACGCCATGATCGGGAAACACACCTGCATTGGAGGAGAGATCTCACCGACAACCGCTTCAGGATCTCCATGACGACGTTGTGAGGGAGCTTCGGGTCGTCGCCAAAGGAACTTATGGTCAAGGGTTTGATAAAAGGGAGTAAATTATTTTTAAATAATTATTATATTAAAGGATACATTTGTTTCGTGAAAAATAAATAATTTAAAAATATTTTTTAAAAATGATCGATTGAATTATTTATAAAAATAAATGAATGAAAAAAATATTTTCATTGTTCACGAGAATATTTAGACATAAGTTGTTGTCGATAATGAAAAAATTTATTATTGACTAATTATTTTAAACTATACAAGTGATCATTTTTTGAAAAATATTCTCTAAATCATTCATTTTCCGCAAAACAAACGGAGCAAATCAAAGCTCCCAAAAAATTCTATTGCTACGTGGCACTTCTGTATTTGTCACCTAATAATCACCTAATAAACTCTACGAAATAATTAAATAAATCATATATACAAATTTGAGGAGATTTTTGTAATCATTAAAATTAATTTGGGTCGCCAATTATACGCTATGCATGTTTGCTCCATTTTTTTTTGTTGGAAAATGAGTAATTTGGAAGAACAATGCTTGTATCACTTTAAGTTATTAATTAACGGAAAATGTTTTAATATCAACAATTGTTATGTCTATATATTTTCGTGCACGGTAAAATATTTTTGGTCCGTTCATTTGCATAAGCAATATAAATGATTATTTAACAAAAAAAAATTTCGAGAAAGGAGTTGTGAACAGTCGCTTCGAAAGTATTAGCATTGCCTCTCAAGTTGCTGGGTGGTTTCAACGACACCGAATCTACCAAAATCGAGCATCTTCTTAAATCAACTTTCTATCAGCGTTTCTTTTTGTTTTACCATATCTTATTGCACAATACACACTAGGCTTCTTGCTCGTCCGTGAATTTCTTTGTGCAAGCATGGCTCGTGCTATATTCTTCATGCATACATGAAAAATAGAGATTGAGGATTTAACGATCTCTCTTCAAGAGAAGCATTTGTTGCGGGGAGATGGTTCATTGTCGTGGGACTATCTCCGATGCAGGAAGACAAGTTCCTTTGCAGCAAAATGATTGGTTTGGATCAAACCAATTGAACTCATTTTGTCGAGTCTTTGGTTTTAATTGGATGTATTTCCAAATTGAACCTGTTCTACATCCTGCTAATTTTTTTCTATATTTTCATCGCATTAAGTTATTCACTAAATTTCATTTGCATTTCAATTAGAACCGTTGGTTTGGATTAAACAATATGTAGTATTTTCATATGAACTTTTCAAGGTGCCTTATGATGAAAAGATTGTATTTACCAGTTAAAATGTTTTTAAAACTCGTCGTTTTTTTCTTATTATTGGGGTTCACAGGTGATTCTTTTGGTAGTTAGGAGTTTGAATGAAATTTCTATAAATTAAAATGTCATGTTAGAATTGAAATATAGTCTAGACCAAACCACAAGCAGACCTAATACAAATGACCGCAAGGGTGACCCTTTTTCAATGGAACAATAGTCAAAACAACTGAGATGAAAGAAGAATAGTCCATTGCGATTTTGGTTTTCGTCTCAATTTGACTTTTTACTATCCTAGTCATCACATTATTTAGATAATTATAAGCACACCATGTATACAGTCCGAATATTTCATTTCAAAAAAGATTATTTATGCTATGTATGCATGTTTGTATGCACTTGTCTGTACTTATAAATATGTAGCCGTTTGTTTAGCTTTGTCCCAACACATTGGTATTTCCTCCAACAAACCTCTGTTGACTCTGCCAAGTCCTCTCTCCATGCTGTGGCATGCTTTGTTTGTCCATTTCTTGCTCGCCTCATCCATCCTATTGAAAACCACCATCACTCTATGCTCATAACTACGTTTGCATTTCACAGAAAAGGAGGATAAGAGTCGAAACCCCATCAATTTATAATGGCTGTTGATGCTAGCTCTGGCCATCTCGATCCCTTTGCTCTCCATCACTTCTTAGGAAACAGAGAGCTCGTGACTATGCATATGCATATGCATATGCATATGCGATTTGAGGGATTCTTAGCAAATATCATATTAGATTTCGTTTTGGGGTTTCAATCGGTTCAGATTTGGGCTACTAAAATGCAGAGTTCTTCTGGGTGCAAATTGTAGATAGAACACACTTCGCCTAGTCTACTCAAAATGTGAAAATGCATATATGCATTCTAAAGCTTGCAAGAAGTACCAAAAGCAAATGGGCACCACCTCACTGCTTCTGCTCGATATTTCGTGGCCGGAGCGGATACGAATAAGACCAATTCTTCTAAATTCAGATGTCTCTTTCGACTATTCTACAAGCAGAATCAATCTGTCATACCGGTAAATGTAGCCGGTACCAAATCACCTCTAAGGTGAAACGAGACTCTCTATGACAGTAACCAACTTGCATTGCGTCGATAGCGGGAGATTTGCGCAATGTCCGGTGATTGGATCCCAAGAAACTCGTTCTTCTTCATTTATTTCCATCAGAGGCTCGCCATTCCTTGCGAAGCCATCAAATCCAGTTACTAGTCCACAAGCCTCGAAAGAATTCAGCTTAGTCCAAGACTCAAGCACGCCGTACTCCCTCGTAACCCAAACCGAACAAATGGAATGTGATTCAGGATGCATAACTGCATCAATGATATTAACAAACACAGCCAGCAAGTCATTTACCACTGCCACATACGCTATTAAACCGCCATTGTCCATGTGAAGAATCTCTTCCGGAAGATCCATTTCATCAAACACCTCACCAGCGACATCGAACAAGACCATTGATCCATATCTACCCTCATCCCACACAACATCGAACTTGAAAGCAATCCAGGGCAGATTCCCATTCAAGAAGACCGCGGATCCATTGTCGTAGAAAACAGGAACCTCACACTCCAAACTTCTCCACGAATCTGTACTGAGTGAATAAATCTCGACTCGAGGATTTGGACCACCAAAGCATTGGCCATTATCATCTTCAAAACAGAGAATCTTCACAATCTTATAGTCATTGGACCCAGCGTCGAAGCCGAACCCTAGAGATTCATAAGCAGTCTCCATGGAGAAAAACTGATGGCCCAGACCGGATTGCGGAACCGCCTTGTGCTTTCCGGTGAACAAATTCCACAAATACATCGCTTGACTAAAGCCATTTCTGGAAAGTTCTGCGATGCAGATCAAACCATTACACGAACCAACGAAATCATAACGGCCGGCAGGAGTCACAAACGGAACCTCGATTTGGGACCGGGAAGGCAGGGTAAGAGACTCGTTGGAAAACAGAGAGCACAGGTGACGGCACCAATCTAGGCACACAAGATAGCAATTGGAGGCATCGAGAGCGGAGTGGCTCAAGTGGAGGGCCACGAAACGAGGGTCGTCCATGGTGGAACGCCATGACCGGCAAACGCACCTGCATCGGAGGAGAGATTTCACCGGCAACCGCTTCAGGACCTCGACGACAATGTCGTGAGGGAGTTTCGGGTCGCCGTCATCATCGGAGGAACGCATCGTGGTTAGGGTTTGAGAAGGAGAGCCGCTTGACATAGCACGATTTTGTCATGTGACTTTTTTTTGTTTTATGATCGAATTGTCATGTGACTTGACACAGGAGTTTTCTAATGTATGTATGTGCACCACAGCAGAGTTAGCTGATTTTTCAAAATTCAAAATTGGCCGGGCATAATTTTCCAACTGACAATACTTAAATACACGGTATCAGTACCTAGAGAAGCAAAAGTGGTGGAGATGGAGAATCGACGGGAGGCCGAATAAACGTGAAGCTTCAACTATGCTTGCGATGGAACGGGACATGAACAACTTTTGGACAAGAAAGGAAAGGACGACCAGAGAAGAGAGGCTTGGGAAGAGAGAAGGAAGAGTGAGTGCAGTGGCAAGCAAGGCTGTGAAGAGACAAAGTCACCACCCCGCAACACTCTAGAACGAGAATGTAATCAGTTGTGGTTGCATTTGCCTCAAAGCAATAAGAATGTCTGAAATTGAGGCTAGAAGAAGGGACAACGACGACGAAGGAGGAGGAGGAGGAAAAGAAAGCAAATTACCGCGTTTAGCGACCACTTGCGGTCTATCTTGCGGTGGCAACGGGAATTTACTCGGATTATAAAAGTTTCAAGTTTTATTTGTTCTCTTTAGTACACATGAAAATAGATTCATTATGGAAATAAAAAGACAATATCCATTAACCTCTTTATCCTATTCTGACTTTTATCCTGACTAAAAAAGATAGCCTTTTGAGTTTTGTGTGGTGTGAGATTGCAAATTCAAAATTGTGGCAAAACCCATTAAATCGAACTTCAAAAATACAACATTATGAAGGGGAAATATTAAAGAGCCGAGAGTAATGGAACAACTGCATAAAGTTATTGACTCGGAATAAAAAAACATAGCAACCCATTCTTGCAAAATGAAATTTGAAAGCATGTCATCCTGTCTAATTATCTAGATAATTATAAGAACATCGTGTGTTTGTCCAAATATTTCATTTTAAACAGATTTTTTGTGCTACATATGTACGTATGTATGCATTTGTCTTTATCTATAAGTATGTAGGCGTTTGTTTAGCTTTGTCCCAACATATTGGTACTTCCTCCAATAAACCTCTCTGCGGACTTGGCCAAGTCCTCTTCTCTGTACTATTGCATGCTTTGTTTGTCCATTCCCTCCCCGTGATGCTAGCTTCGGCCATCTCAATCCCTTCGCTCTCTTAGGAAACATATAGAGCACATGACTATGCATATGCGTATGTGATTCGGCGGATTCTCGACAAATATCAGATTTGATTTCGTTTTCGTAGTTTCGATCTGTTTCGATTTGGGCTACTGAAATGCAGAGTTCTTCTGGGTGCAAATTGTGAAGAGAACACACTTTGCCTAGTCTAAAGAAAAACTTAAAATGTGAAAATGCATATATGCATTCTAAAGCTTGCAAGAAGTACCAAATGCAGATGGGGCACCACCTCACTTCTTCTGCCCGTCATTTTGTGGCCAGAATCAATTCAAATGCCGCTATCAACTCTTTTGCAAGCAGAATCAATCTGTCATGCCAATAAATGTAGAAGCAACCGAGTCATCTCTAAAGCGAAACAAGGCTCTCCACGATAGTGACCAAATTGCATTGCATCGACAGTGGAAGATTTGAGAATTGACCCGTGGTTGGATTCCAAGAAACTCGTTCTCCACCATCTAGTTCCATCAGAAGCTCGCCATTCCTCCTGAAGCCATCAAATCCTGCTACTACTCCGCAAGCCTTAAAAGTATACAGCTTGGTCCAAGACTGAGGCACGCCGTAGTCCCTCATAACCCAAACAGAACAAACGGAATGCAGTTCGAGATCCAGAGCTACGTTGATGAAACTAATGAACACAGCCAGCAAGTCATTTAATACTGCCAGAGACATCACCAAAGCGACAGAGTCTGCGTGAGAAATCTCTTCCGGCGGCAGAGCCATTTCATCAAACACCTCACCTGCAACATCGAACAAGACTATCGATCCATACCCACCCTCCTCGTCCCCCAGATCACCGAACTTGGAAGCAAACCAGTGCAGATTCCCATTCAAGAAGACCGCCCGGTCGTCATGACAGAAAGCAGGAACCTCACACGCCAAGCTTCTCCAGGAATCTGCGCGGAGCGAATAAATCTCGACCCAAGGCTCCTTCCCACCGAACAATCGGCCATTATCATCTAAAACATAGAGAATCCTCACAATCTTATAGTCATTCGACCTAGCGTCGAAGCCAAACCCTCGAGCTTCATGAGGAGTCTCCATGAAAGAAAATTGATGCTCCGGACCGGATGGTCGAACCGCCCTGTGCTTCCTGGTGAACAGATTCCACAAATACATCGTCCGACCAAAGCCACCGCCAGAAATTTCCGCGACGCAGATCAGGCCATCGCACGACCCGACGATCATGCTACAGTCGGGAGGAGTAACGAACGGGATTGCGATTTGCGACCGGGGAGGGAGGGTGAGAGACTCCTCGGAGAACAGAGAGCACAGGTTCGGGACAGTATCGCACCAATCTAGGCAGGCGGTGTGCCAATTGGAAGCATCGAGAGCGGAGTGGCGCAAGTGGAGGGCCGCGAAATCAGGGTCGTCGACGGCGGAACGCCACGACCGGCAGACGCACCTGCATCGGAGGACAGATTCCACCGGCAACCGCTTCAGGATCTCGGCGACGACGTCTTGAGGGAGCTTCGGGCCGTCGCCGTCGCCGTCGCCGGAGGAGGAGGAACTCATGGTCGGAGAGGGTTGAGAAGAAGGGCGGCGAAGTAGAAAGCTGGAAAGAATTTGCTGCGGTCCCGGCCGTCGCGGTCCCCTTTACCTCCCTCTCTTCTTTGTCACGTGAAATCCACGTGACGCGGCACGGTTTCGTCACGTGACTCGACGCGGAAGTTTTCTAATGTGCGCTCTCTACTAGAAGTTTTTGTAGAGCGGGCAGGCTCCGGGTTTATATGGTTTGATTTCCCATTTTTTGAACCGGAAACCCCGTTGACCTTGATCGCATTCCGGCTAATTCCAGGGCCGACCCGAGAACTAGACGGAGCAATTTTTTTTTTTCCCGTTTCGTTGTATTTTTTTATAAAAAATCTACATTGTGTCATGTATGAAATTATAGTTTTTTTTTCTTTTTCAGAATAATATGTCAAATATATTCAAATTTCTATAAATATTTTTTGTTCCGAAAGAATGAACCCACTCCAAATAATCCTCAAAATCGGCAAGGAAGGGGAGAGTCGGAGAGAGAGGGAGGCGGCAAGAGTGAAGCTTCTCGATGACAAAACTCAAGATTAAATCAATGAAGAAAATTATGATTTAAACAAGTTATATGGGTCTTCTTGCCAAAACTATGGTTGTCTAATCTGTTTATATTTTTTTATTCGCTAAAAGTCATCTCCATTTGAACTAGAATCAATGCTTCGCATCAAATCACGTATAATTTCTTTGTATGAATTTCCAAAGGTTCTTTTTTAATGAAAGGATGACAATGGCAAGTTAAACTTTATCATTTGTTTATGATTTCATTGTTTGGGCATTATGTTAATTAAATAAAGTCGAAATAAAATTAAAATGTCCGGTTCGAGTTGAAATGTAGTCCATGCTGAACCACAAGCACGCCCAACGTAATTGAGCACGATAGTCAAAATAGCTTAGATGAAGGAAAAATAGTGATAGTAAAATTGTCAACCTAAATAAATAGGGGTTTTGATTTTTTTTCTTGATTTGTTTTTATTATGCCCGTCATTAAATAATTTAGATAAATAAGCACACCATAGTGTACAGTCCCAATATCTCATTTTAAATAGATTGTTTGCTCCATGTATTCACGTATGTATGCATTTGTCTTTTTTTTTTTAAGTATGTAGGATTTGTTTTGGTTTATTACAATTTTCACACTCGTCCGCACGAGTATCAATGTATATTTTAGGTGGAATTTAGCCATTACTTTATTATTTTAAGGACTATTCGTACAAATATTGTTAATTCAATTCATACATTCTTAAAGCAAATGAGCTATAACCTAAATTTGCAGTCTCCAAATCATCAAACGATCAAACACATATGCACGCAGATGACAATGTGCCGTGGTGGACACAAAAATCTAGCTCGTTAGGTGAGATAAAAGTTTTGCAATACCTAACCTAAAAAGGAAGATATAGGAATTTTATATGAAATCTCATAGAATATAGTACATAGTTAATATATAGTAAAACATACGTCAGACATATCAGTATTTCCTCCAATAAGCTCTCATTGCCCTCTATCCGTCAATTAGGTTGATTTTTTTTTGCTTACATATTACTCTTAGAAAATACACTAAGCACGAGTCAGCCAAGGGTGCAATAACCCCCGCCAGCCCCTTTCAATTGGTTAATGGCAATGTCCCAATGGCAAATCTAAATTCTCACAATATGTGAAATTAACATAATAAATTATTTGATATGGACTTTGAGACCCACAAATCTAATTCATTAGGTAGAGGAGAAGTGCAATTCTTTTTTTCACATAAGAGTAAGTTTATACATTGCATCATCAACCTCATGAAACAAGAGAGTCATTGGCTGGAATATTCCCACAAGCAGCCCACCGGGACAGAGACAACAATTACAAGTTGTGTTGAGAAAACCTCATATTAGATTTTGAAACTGACAAAACTATCGATATTCTTATTTGAATATGATAATTGTATAGTAGTGTCTTTGTTACAGGAAATACTTATCAAAAGAAGTTCATTCAGATTCAAGCTATTGCTGTTTGAATATTGTGGCTATGAAGAAATATCTATATTGATCTTGATATTATACTTTGTGTTGTTCAAATGACAAGGATAGAGATGGCTATTACTTGGATATCTTCACAACAACATGATGGATATTGGTCTATCTTTTACACGAATGAATCTGATTACTTCGGGCTCTACACTATAACTAGACATCATGAGACGCATGAAAATATATTCAAACACAAAACTTCAATCGCCACCGTTAGTGATCTGGTCTAGATTTCCAAATTAGAAAGTATTGATCTTTGATCTTAAAGATTGTTTTGCAACAAAATCTTTCATGCAAGACATCTTTGATTGATTGACAATCACTTCATAGACAAATTACTCTCCTAAATCGAAGAACTTCACTCATGGAAACTAGAGATTCGCTTGTATAGACGACCAAATCAACGGGGATTTGGATCTTATCTCTCAATGACTCAATCTCCATTATGTAATCTCGTCCAATGGATTGATTGGAGAAAGATCCTCCGAAATCTGTCTAACCGGTAAATTGAATGTGAGGAATATAAATGGAGAAAATAAAATTCCAAAGTCCGAGAGTACTTCGATCTTATATACTTGTCTTTCGTGAACTACATATTGTAATATTTGAGAGACCCCGAAAAGAGTGATTAAGTAAGATAGTGAGATCTATCATTCACTGAAAATTATCACTCACACTTGTAATCTCTTATTTATTATCTAGTGAAATCTAGCCCATAGGTTGTTAGCGTGGCAGAAGGATGTAGGCTTGATCTAAGCCAAATCACTATAAATTCTATGTGCAAATTCTCTTATCCAAAAAATCTTGTTTATTGTTTTTTACATACCTTTGCACACTGCTAAATTGCATTGAACTTCTGCTGATTTTTAGACTCTAGCCTTCATGCATTGATCAATATCATCATACTACCGTCGTTGTTCAGACTCTGATTTTGACTACTTTACTTCCGCTTCAAATTTGTGAAAATTCATTAAAATCACCTATTCACCCCTCTAAGTGATATTGCTAGCTTCAACAACTGATATCAGAGCTTGATGCTCATTATTTGAAGTGTCATATTACTTTTGAGTTAACGATTTATTGTGTCTAGCAATCTTGCACCAGGCATCATCGAAAGACAGAGCAACACCAGTCCTCCTTACTTTGATGGGAAGGGTTACAACGTCAAAAAGAACAAAATGAAAGACTTCATCATATCCACATATCCTCTTATGTAAGCTGTGCAAAATGGAATTAATCCTACAACTCGAGTCTCTTCCACAACTGCAAGTTCCAACTCAAGAGAAACAAATGAGAATTGAACTCCAGCTGCAATAATCACTCCCGCTGAACTAGCTAAAATAGAAGCTTTAGATGCTAAAGCTCTTTACTCTCTTTATTGTGCTCTATCTCCTGCTAAATATAACCGTGTCTCATTGGACATGCTTGATGTTAACTTCGAAGGAACTGACAGAGTCAAGGAAACCAGAATGAACACTCTTCTTGGTCAATATGAATCTTTCAAGATGAAGCCAAATAAATCTATTTCTAAAATGTTCAACAGATTCACGGACATAGTTAATGGACTCGCATATCAAGGGAATCCAGTTTCAGCACCAATGAAAGTGAACAAACTTCTATGAGTACTCTCAACGGAATGGAACTATGTCAAAACCTCCATCCAAAAAACTCAAAAGGATCTTGCCATTGTCTTTTGATGACTCATCATAACCCTCTTTAACAAACAAACAAAAAACTCGGCATAATCCTTCAATCATATGAAGTTGAACGAAATAATGAAGAAGAAGATCCAAAAGGTAAAAAGTTCATTGCTCTAAAATTGGGATAAGAACACTAGGAACCTGTTTAGTAACGTTTCTGTTTCTCTGTTTTTCTGTTCTTTTGTTCCCTAGAACAAAAAAAGAACAAAAATTCATTTAGTAACGTCAGTTAGTTTTTTTGTTCCTGAGAACAAAAAAGTGATCTAGGAATAGATTTGGAATAGAAATAAGAAGTAAAAAAAGTCTACTTTTCTGTTTCTAGAACAAAAAATGAAATAATAGAGAAACAAGATCAACTCTCTCTCTTTGACAAGATATTCTCATACTAAAACCGTAAACCTTAACCCTCAAACCCTAAATCCTAAAATCCTAAACCTTAACCCTAAACCCCAAAACCTTAAACCTCAATACCCAAACCCTAAAACCCATAACACTAAAATGAAAAACCCAAAACCCTAAACTCTAAAACCGCAAAACCCAAACCCTAAACCTTCTAAACCCCAAAACCTAAAACACTAAACCCCAAAACTCCAAACCTGAAACCCTAAAACCTAAACCCTAAAATCGTAATTCTAAATCATAAATCCTAAAACGTTAAACCGCAAAACCCCAAACCCTAAACCATAAACCCCAAACCCTAAACGACTAAACCCCAAACCCAAAAACCCCAAACCCGAAACGCTAAACCTAAAACCCCAAACCCGAAACTCTAAAACCTAAATCCCAAACCTTAAACCATAAAATCCAAAATCTAAAACCCAAATCCTAAACCTCAAAATCGAAATCCTAAAACCTTAACCCCAAATCCTAAAATCCTACACCCTAAACTGCAATTTCCTTGACAACTACCCGATATTTGATTTGTCTATAAGGAGTAATTTTCTTTATGATTGTATTAAGGTTATCCAATTCTATATCATAATATATTATTATTCTATTTCTAGTCCAATTTTATCCAGACATAAATTGTTAAGTCCCCTAAAGTGCAATTTCCTCGACCACCACCTAGTATTTGCTTTGTTTACAAGGAGTAATTTTTTTTTATGATTGTATTAACGTCATTCAATTCTATATCATAATATATTCATATTCTATTTCTAGTACAATTTTATCCAAATATGAATTGTTAAGTTTCCACTGACAATTTTATAATTAAATGAAAAAATAGGAGTATAAATATTTAGTGTCCTACCAAATGCATTTCTCTTCTTTTTTTACTTTGGGAATATAAATTTTGTACAGTTACTAAACACATTTTTTTGCTCAGAAACTT